ATAAATAGATAAATTAAAATTCTTTTTTTTTAATCAAATGATTAAGCAAAAATATAAAAAAATCCTAAAAAGTATAAAATAAAAATTGTATTTAATCTACAATAAAATTTAAAAGGGATCAGTGATATTTAAGAGTTTTTTAGCTGACATAGGGTTAAATCGTTAGTTGTAGTAGAAGAAAATATAGATTTTGATGAATATATTAATATTCTAGCAAATTATTTTATCTCATAAGTTAACAATTATCTTAACTCTATTTTTCAGTAAGATAGGGTATTATGTCATACTTCAACTTACAGTATTTGATAGATGAAAATACATAGCATTTCAATTTTAGATTGAATAGCGTAAAGCCTTATTCTTAATCTAATAAAAATTTGTGAAACTATTTAGATAGTCAAGTTCAAAAGAAAATCTGTATCTAAGTTTAAATAAGAGTTAATTAAAATAATACAAGATAAGTGATAAAAAATCACAATTGAAAGGTATCATCGCCTAATTTTAAACATATTTAATCAGATTAAAATAGTAATTAAGGCCAAAGGTAATTATACTAAATATTAATTTTTCGTGATAATATTTTTACTATAATTACTTTATATTTTATATTTTAATATAATAAAATTTATTTGTCAATTAAGAAGTATAAAAAAATTTTTTATAAATACCATAAAATTATGAATTTTATATGTAAATTTTTATAAATAAAAAAAATCCAAATACTATTGTAGGCCAGTGTAGAAGAGAATTAATAATAAATCTTATATTTATTTAATAAATATTACATTATGAAGGTTAAAATAAATAACTAAGATAGTAATTATAAGATACAATATTAAATATATATAATTAAATCATTATAAATTTTATTTTAATAAAAATTTTGTGTTATTTAAAGCAGTTTTTTATTTTAAAATTACGTTTAATATTATTACTTAAAATAGGATTAAATTATTATTCAATTAAAATATTTAGCCTGACACTTTTCAAAATCGGAGATTTCATTGGTTTATGATCACATGAGCGGACAGAGAAACGCAATAATCCCGTGACCGAAATAGCGCATTGTCCTTCGCTTCTCTCCAGACAATTATATTTATCTATTTCAAATATGATTCATAATATTAGCAGCCATTATTTTATAATTTCAGCTAAATTCTCAATATAAATATATATTCTTTTTCTTTTTCTATTACATTTGAAAAAACTAAAATTTTAAATTTGTATTTTTACTATAAGAATATATTATGAATTTGTTGATAAGATAAATTACCATCAGAAATCATCGACATGTGACATTTGACCAATCATATGGGTTGATTGCTAACAAAATTTTTATTACTTTTTAGTTTTTGATGTTATTTCTCAAAACCTGATTTCCTAGAAATCCTCCCATAGATACGGTGTGACAAATATTTTATTATAATCACATGTCCGAGGATTTCTGATGGCGCATAATCTACATGATCATCTGATGTATATCGGAATAAAAAAAAATATTAAAAATATGGGGTCTACGGAGTATCAGACATTTTAATCACGTGAAAGTGTTAAATATTTATTTTATAATTTTTGATCTAACCCTCACTTTTTTGATTTGATCTTATGAAAGTTTTTTTTTATTTTTTACATAATACTGCGTTTAGTATTAGAAAGGTACAATAATGTTTAAAATAAATTGTTTATCATGCGAACCAACAAAATTCTTTTTGAAGAATATTCGAAGTAACTTATAGTTTTCAGTGTTCTGTAAAAATTGGAGGTATTACAAACTATTATTAGTTTATATTGGTATTGTTACACTCCAGTGACATCTTATAAGTTATAGACCTCGTATTGAGGTAAGATTCATTCGATTCGTATCAAAGTATTTTGGATTAAGATCGAATTTATTAATAAATCAAAGTTTAATAATCACAGTTCATTATTATTTGTGGGGTGGTATTATAAATTATATTATTATTGAACGGGACTTTAAAATATCGGTCGAAGACCCGTTCAATAACATATTATTATCCGAGATATTACATGTGCCAATATAAATATAATGTCGATCAGTATAGGTACATACAATCGTGTAAAAATTATAGTTCTTATATAAAAATAATATGAGCGACAGTCAATAGAAAAGGGGTTTTTTATTGAATTAAGTTATCGAATGGAAACGAAACGATTCTTGTATATTTTTATTTTATATCATTCCATATTAAAAATTCACATTTAATTTAATTTTACTATTTAATTCCTTGTTTTTAAATATGCTTTATCATTTTAATTTAATCATATTAATATGAAATCTAAATCTTAATCTTAAATAAATTATTTCTTATAAAAAATTTAATTAAAAATTTAATTGTAAAAAAAGATATTTTTTGAAATAAAATATCTTTGACCGAATGTTATAAAAATAAAAATAAAAAGATATTCGAAATAATATCTTTGACCGCACACCGAACGTTATAAAAAAAAAAAAAAGATATTTTTTCGAATTAAAAATATCAACCGCGTTATAAAAAAAAAAAAAATAAAAATAAAAAGATATTTTTTCGAAGTAAAAAATATCTACCGAACGTCGTATAAAAAAAAAAATAATAAAGATATTTTTTCGAAATAAAATATCTTTATTATGAAAAAAAAAATCTTATTTCTGAGCGAATCGACCTCGCGCATCCCGGTTCCGGACTACCTTTTTTCTGGTAGCCCTAATTCTATTTCCGATCTTCTTTCTTGCCTCCCTCCTTTTCATTATTCGATTTATTTGCTTTGGGTTCAAAGGTCTTTGCGGAGGGGGCGCAAATTCAACAGGAATGAATTTAAATTCTTTCAATTGTGGCTATTATATATTAAAAGAAAAGGTTGAGAGTAAGGAAAATAATCTTTTATATCAAATTAAAAAAAAAAACTTTTTACTTTTACTTACCGACATAATTGTTGAATAAGATAATCGGGATGAATTATAAGATTTTAAATTTTTTTTTTTTCTTTTTTTTTTTGTTGTAGTCGAATGTATCTGATACTCATCTTTATATAAAAAAAAATGTATTATACTTAAAAATAATTATATGAATTGAAGCTTTAAGAATTTAAATTTCGGCTTTAAACTTTGTATTGTTGAGGGAATTCCGTTAGGTTGTACGATTTAATTTATATTATTTAACATAAATACACAACAAACTAAATATTTACTTTCATCATGCGTATGTTTCGTAAATAAATTAACCCTTGAAAGTGTATTAACCAATTGCTAACTAGACAATTTTTTATAGGAGGGACTTTTACTTTGATAAAAAAGTTCATGCAATGACTTTTTGATTCACGTAAAAAAAAAATTTTTTTTTTTATTATCCATGTGGTAATAAATAAATGATCTAGGTATATTGCGTCTAGATTTCACTTCAAAATATAATGGTGGTATTGTTTTCATATCTGCAGTACCTACTAGTCTTATGGTTCTATGAGCGGGGAAAAGCCTTTCTTTTGTATGTATCACGAAAAGTAATTTTTCCGTATAGATCCAAACATTTATATACTGTAGAACGTTGATCCTTAATAAATATTAATATAAACAAATACCAAAAACGAATGCCAATTTAATCAAATATATTTATGAATTCATCTGAAAAACAATCAAATGACTAGATATTGTATCAATTCGTTTATAAAATAAGCCTATATGTGTTTATATTGGTACATGATTTACTAATAAATCACACCATAAGGTGTTTGATGGAGTCGTTGGTGCTTTGAGAAAAAATCAGGGTCGGAGACAATACATTATCTTATACCTTTGAATAGTTTATGATCATAATCATACTTCTCAAGCAAGTAGCGCTGAAGTCGCAAATGTTGTTCAAATAAAGTACTAGGCTCAAAATCAACCTTCTTCAACAAAGTTATTCCTATATCGTATGAAAATCAAATATGTAATGGTTGCTGGGGAAAAGGGGTCAAATATATTTTGTGTTTCCCGTGTTTTAACCTTAATACAAATATAACTAAATATAGTTAGGAAAACAAATGTATTATAAGGCTGTTTTCTTTATAAGTAAAAAAATGATTAAATCTATTTATGGTAATTCATAGTATTTGCGAATATTCTAAAGAATCTAGTATTAATTTAGGAAAAAGCTCTCCAAGGTCTTTGATTGAGGGTGAAACAGTAAATATGATTACTTTATCAGATAGATTAGTTATATTACATTACATGACCAGGACCCCGAAAAGGTAACAATGAAGAGTTTGCGTATGAGCCAAAATTTATGTGGATATGTCCTTTTTTGATATTTCCCGCCGGCCCTGAAGAGATGCGTAGAGCTATTAGTAAATGTGTGCCGATTATTGCTCGGGGTCCTCAGATCACGATCTCCATTTTTGCTTAATTCGGTGGTACGAACTTAATTTTTTTAAAAAAAAGTATTTTTAAATTAAGCTTTGAAGAGTGCGGTTTTTGTTCTTTTTAAATTAAATTATTAAAAGAAGAGAAGCTACAAAGTGGAGTGATTTAATTGTTTTGATTAAAGAAGAGTATTTTTTTTTTTTTCTTTTTTATTTTCAAGATATTATTTTATTTAATGGTATTATTTTTTTAACTATTTAATTCGTAATTCGCCGATCATGTGTAGTATTTTTATATATAAATTCCGGGGGAATTTTTACTATTTATATATAAAATGATCGTCAAATACTAAAAATAGTGTTCTATTAGAATTTTTTCTAGAATAGTCCAAACCTGCTGAAAATCATAAGTGTTATTAATAAATGGCAGAGTGTTACGAATACCATTTTTTATGTTTTATTTTACGCTTTACTTTGGGCATTTGCAGATTCCAGTAGGAATTCTATATACAGATCTGTAATTGCAAATGTTTCGAAAGTCATTTTTATAAGTTTTTATGCTTTTTTCTGCATAATATATTTATAAATTTATATTTTTTTTACTTTTATTCGATATACTTTATTATACTTTTTTATTTGAAATGCTTACTGTACTACCAATGTGAGTATTATTGCTGATTTTGTTCTTGACGTTCTAAAGCTATAGCTGCCATTTCACGTTTTCATGCTGCAGAATATCTACTAATCCAATTTTCAATTGTTTCTACTTTTGGTATTATTTCAGAATCAAATTCCCCATTATTTGCCATATGAATAAGTTCTGATAACATATCATTAGCTGAGTATCAATCACTTTTATCAGCATTACCAGCATGAAAAAAACCTTGTAACAATGTAATAATCTTTTTTTGACATTTTTGTTTTGCCTCTTTTTCTAAATTTTTGATTTGCTTTTAATGCCTATCCAGATGCGAGTTGAAATTCTGCATCAACGCTACAAATAAGATCAATATATTATTTCTTATATAACTCTATTTTAAAATAAGTAACATCAAACAAGGTGGGTTTTTCTTACATAAAATTATTTCTTGTGTCTATAATTTTATTGCTAACTTGTTCCAAATTTTCGTTAGATGTGTGTATTCGTATATGCTTAGAATTGGTATCTAAAAATAATTTAGTGACTATTCAATACACAGAATAATTGTAATATAGTACAAATTTGAAATAAACTACTACCAGGATTTGGTATTGGTATAGTCTATAAAGATTTTGATTTAGAAGGTGTAAAAATTATAGGATTGGGTTTTATTATTTCTGTATTTGATAATTTTTGTAGAATAATTAGTAAAATCACCTATATTTGGTAATGAACATGCTTATATAAAACCTGCAAATAATCCGTCTATTAGCCATTTCCATTCATTCATATTAGATATTCCAACCAATGACTTTATTTTTTTATCAGATTTTTCACGATTAGGATTTAGTTCTCCTATTGATGTATCACACAAATCTTTGATTACATTTTCTATATCAATGTCTTCTTTTATCTCAAATCCAACTCTAACATATCTTTTAATAGCATGTGCAATCTATGAAATTATTAGTTAATTATTATTTTTTTAATGCTAATAAATTATTATTTTTCTTATACTAATAAATATAATAAATAGTATAATGTATTAATTAGATCTAACCTATGCATGATGAGAGTCAATTGCTGTTTTTGCTTCTTCAGCTTCTAAAAAAATCCATTTTTTTACTTTGATATCATACCAATCTTTCCAATATGCTATTATAAGCATCATTTCACTATTATGATAATGAAGTCTATTATCTGAAATTAACGTAATCCATTTTGGTTTTTTGGACATAACATCAAATACTGCATGAAGTGACAATGGCGTGAACTATGCATCCTGCCTTGTGTCTGCTGACCAGTGATAAAATGCAGCTATACTTAATTTTTCATCATTTTCAGATTTGGTATATATTAATATAGAATGTAAAGTCCAACCCTTTTTCCCAAAAAATTCAGATTTGGATTCTCGTGCTGATTTTGGTAAGATACGCATCTTATAATCAACAATAAGTACAGCGCTATTATCATCTAATTCTAATAAATTTGCTTAAACTTGTGTATTAAGAAATACCTTTTGCGTTTGATGTGTAAGATAATAAAGTAATTTTTCTTTTTTATCATTTAGAAGTTGTTGTTTCTCAGTTGGAATAATTGATTCTAATTCATCAAAAAAGAATAAAGATTTGAACACTGATAACACCTGATACTATGTATCTTTTTACTTTCGCCACATGAATAAGGTAAACAGTGATCAATATATTCATCGTGTTTAACATAACCATTACTTTCAACAATAATTTTGCATATATATTCTCTTTTCATATGACGTTTAATTAGTTCTATATTTCATAGTAATTTATTCTATATTTTATAATAATAATATAATAAAGTTATTTTTTTTTTTATGAATAATTTTATTGAAAAAAATACAAATAATTATATAAATTATATACTTGAATTAAAAGGTTTTTAATATGTAATCTTATAATTTAGCTAAATTATCAAATACTTCATATCCATACTCTGCACAAATTGAACATAATCCTCTTAAATCTTCATGATATCTATATGGATCATCTTCAATTCATGTCATAAATGATGTTCTTTTCATTCCATTAGGATAAATTTCTGAAAATCTTTTTTACAACGATTCTTTTTGATCAAGTAGATAAAGGATAGGATGGTTTGTTTTTGAATCAACCTAATATGAACTCATACTAACATTTACTTTATCTGAAAAAAAGATTTTAAATTGATTTTTTATTTCTTTAGTAAAAGGTGGGTTACGTATAACTACAGGTTTATTAATTTGCTGGCAACCTGAACCATTAAGTGTAGCATATTTTTTGCTGTATTGATAGTTGTAGATGAAATCTGAATTAATACCAACAAGTTTATTTAGATTTTAAAAATAATTTATAATATATATGTAAAAAAATTTATATTATTCTAAGTTTGTTTTGTAACTTCTGGTAAGAAAATTGATATACAATAATAAATAAAATTTGTCGTATCCTATCAGGATCTTTTTGATTTTGTGCTAAACTTTTTGCAAAACAATTCCAAAATATTTGTGATAGATTTTGAATATTTGATGAGTATGGACTTAAAAAGCCTAATTGAAAAAGATCTTTCATCATTTTTTTATCATTTGCAGGATCTAAAGATCACGTCTAAAATTTATGCTATATTGTATATAAATTATAATTAGTTTATTTGATGTAATTTAAATAAATCAATAAATAAATATAATTATCAGTGAAATATCGTTATTGAAAGGTATTACATCTGTATAGCTAGCGGCTTTAAGCATAGAACTCCAAGCTTGCATTTCACGATTATTAAATTGATGATTTTTTGGATATAAATTAGCTAGAGTTGTATTTATTTCAATAATATTTCTACTAGATTCCCATTGTTTAAACAATTGTGACCAATTTACTTCAATAATAGTTCGTTTTTTGAGATGATATTTATATAGATTATTCATTAGCTCTTTATCATCCTATTGAGATAGTTGATATTTAGAAATATATAATCGTTGCAATTCAGATTGTGTATATGTATGCTCAAATCCAAATAATTGCATATCCTGATATTTTCCCAAAATTCTAACTTTTTGCCAAACATTTGCTAGTGAATTACCTTCATATTGTAAAATTTTTATATTATTATTCCATACTTCTACTATGGATTTATTTTTTACAAATTTTTGAACAAATATACAATACTTTTTTTTAAAAACATAAATAAAAGAAGCTATATACCCCTCTCCAAAACCCATCTAACCTTCCTTTTTAGAAGCACTTAAACTAAAGATCATAATAGATAGTTTATCTGCTAAACTAATTAAATAAAGACGAAATTCTATATCATATAATAATTTACTAAATATTGATTCTTTATCAAAGTCCATAACCATTGAACCTGAAATTTTTGTTTAAGTTTTGAAAATTTTTCTATACAAAGAAGTAATTGCATTAATTGGATTATATTCAATTTCACTGGAATCAGAATCATATTGACAAGTATAGCCATGTTGATTTATATCATTTTTATTTCCTCCTAAAACACACATAATAAATTTTTTTCATTTATTTCTACCTGTGTTTTCATGCCAACACGAATAGAACACATCATTCCTATATCATTGACATCTTTTATTATCAGAATAAACCACCAATTTTGTGAAAATAGTCTATAGTGTGAGCAGGGTTCAATTATTCTATTAGAAATTAACGTAACTGCAAGTTCATGTCATTTTGCCATAATTACAGACCCCGCAAAAAGTCTTTGAATACCATTTTTTAAGTGCAATTTTATACGGATAATGTCATGTGACTTTATAATACTGCGGTCATATGACGTTCTAGACTTTATTTATATAAGTCAAACCTAATAAATACGCGTTTGGTTTGCTTATTTTGACTTTAAATTAAAATAAACTTTAATCTTCCAAAAACAATAAAAATGACTCAAGAATTAATAGCAGAATAATGCAATACTATATTTTTTTGCCGTCAACGTGGCGATAGTTACCAAACTATTTCTGAGACTATCAGTTGTGGAGTGTCAATAGTATTTGATACTTTAAAAAGGATAGATAATACCAGAACCACTAATTCAAAGCCTCGTTCCAGTCGACTACCTCTTATTAAATCTTCACAACAAAACCGACTCAAGCGACTTGTAACCAATGATAAAGGAAAAAATTGTTGCTTATATACTGCAGAAGTTTAATAATTTTAGAAAAAAAAGACCAGCCAAGATGTTTCAGCTCGCACTATTGGCCGGACACTTCGTGCAGTTGGATTAAACAATTGTCTTACTTAATGAAAACCTCTAATCTCACCAGCAAATATAAAGGCATGTCTTGTATGGTATTTGGATCACCAAAGCTGAACAAAGGATGATTAGTCGAAAGTTATGTGAAGTGACGAATTGACCTTTTTTCAATTCTGATGTAGTCGAATATGACAGGAACCTCAGAAAAAGTGGAACATTTCTTGTATTTCTGCTATAGTGAAACACAGCCCTGGTCGAATGTTTTGGGGATGCTTTTCAAGACAAGGCTTGGGACCTATTGTTCTATTATTTAGAATAGCAAATGGTGCTTCACATCTTATCATCCTTCACAAGCACGTTATGCCAACTATGAGACGTGCATTTCTAAATGGTAATAATATATTTCAGGAGGATAATGCTTACCCCATAAAATGAAACTTGCAAAAAAATTTCATGCAGAAAATGATTTGCGCGTATTTCTATGGTTGGCTCAAAATTCAGACTTTAATCCAATTGAGAATCTGTAGGCTGATGTCAAGAAAAGCATTCGTGAAAGGAAAAAAAAGCCTTTAAATTTTGTTGAACTCGACCGATACGTTAAGAAGGCATGGCGAAAAATTCTTATACATACTATTGAAAATTTGGTTGATAGTATGCCGCAGTGAATTTAGACTGTAATTGAAGCAAATGGAGGCCCAACCAAGTACTAATTACTTAGTACAAAATGTATAGTATATCATACATTAATAAATATATTAATAAACTTTTTTCAATAAACTTTAAAATTTTGAGTTTTATATTTAGCTAAAAAGTGTTCAGAGACTTTTGACGGGAGTCTGTATATTGATAATTACTGCTATAATATGGCTTTTTCACAAAAACTTTTTTTATTTTTTTGTGTAAATATTATTTTGAATGTAATACCGTTAATTCATGATATAGTTAATTTCTTTAATATAAAAAAATATTATGGGTTTCTTGAGATTCACGGAGTATAAAAAAAGATTATAGTTTATTAACCTAAAAATTTTATATGTAGCTTATATATATGATCTACACGTGATTAGTGAATTACAAATTAAATATTTTTGTAATTTATATCTTTCTTAGGATCACCATCAAAAAAACCTCAGAGACGTGATTATAATATAATATTTGTCACATATTATCACATCCCTTAAGTTTCCATTTTTACTATTATTCAAAGGAGTTTTTTTTGAGTAGCGAAATCTTATTTATCACATACTATTTGTCACAGTTAGAATTAGTTTAGGGTTAAGGTAGTTAGGGTTAGCAGTTGGATGGTTAAGGTAGCATTAGGGTTAGGTGTTAACATATTATTGACAGTCTGAGGATGTTTGATGAACTTCCCACATGTCACATGTTAGTGATTTTATTTTCATAAGGTCACATGATAATTGTATACTTGCATTACTAAAGTCATTTAATCGAAGTTTCAGAAAAGTGACTATCAATTCATATAATTTTACTAAGAATTATTATGTAGCTTAGAATTAAAGCTCATTTATAAGTTAAAAATCATTAATATCTTAATTATTGAAAACAAAGGTTATATATTTTTAAAAATTAGATTAATAATTACTTTATAATAAGAAATCATATTAAATTATTAAAATGAGTTCCAGCATTTATCTAATTATCATAAACTGTAAAATTTAAAAATATTTTTTTTTTTAGCAATCAAACTGAAAATCCAAAGACTTACTATACATGACTTAATTTAGGCTAGCATTAAGAATTTAACTTACTAATATTAGCATGTTATTTATATCAAATATTATCATAAGGATTTTGTCAGAGATCAGCACATGGTATTTGTAACTGTTATGCAATAATATTAATCAATTTATTGTT